TATGGCTAAATTTCAAAAGTAGGTTGCCTTTCAACAAGAATGCCAAGACAAGTTAAGGGGGAAATGTCTTTTCACCAAATGGCGCTGGGAAAATTGGATAGCCACGTGCAAAAGAATAAATTTGGTACCCTCCCTCATATATACAAAAATTAATTCAAAATGGATCAAAGACCTAAAAATAAGACCTAAAATATAAATCTCTTGGAAGCATAGGCGTGAATCTTCATGATCTGTTATATGTCTGTACAACCACAGCAGTGCCCTCAGCACATTCTGTCTGTGGCCCCAGTTTTAAAATCCCACAGTGGCGCCTGGGTGGCTCAGTGAATGGGTTAGCGTCGACCAGCTCAGGTCACCATCTAAGCGGCCCGATGAGTTCATTTGGTGGGCTCTGGGCTGATGGCTCAGAGCCTGGAGCCTGCTAGATTCTGTGTGTCTCTACAAGCTCTCCTCTGCTCCTCCCCCGTTCATGCTCTGTCTCTCTCTGTCTCAAAAAAATAAATAAATAAACATTAAAAAAAATTTTTTTTTAAATCCCTGATATTAGGGGCCCTTGGCGAGGAGCTCAGTCAGAGAATATGTGACTTCGATCTCCCTAGTCCATGAGGATTTGAGAGCCCCCACAGTGGGTGTAGAGATTACTAAAAAAATAAATAAAAATCCAAGTGAAGAAACTTGAAATTTTTTTATATCAAGATTAGTTTCAGGTGTGCAACATAATGATTCAATGCTTGTATATATTATGAAATAATATAATATTTATCACAGAACACAAAGACTTGTCTTTCTTGTGATGAGAAACTTTTAAGATCCACTCTCTTAGCAACTTTCAAATATACACTACAAAGTGTATGTGTATTACCTGCAGTGTAATACGCGGCGCAATGCGTTACAACCTCATGATTTGTTGTTACGATGTGTTATAACCGGAAGTTTGTACCTTCCGACCCCCTTCACTCTTTTCACCCACCCTCCCAACCCCCCGGCTCTGGTAACCACCAATCCATTGTCTGTATCCAGGAGCTTTCTTTTTTTTTTTCCCTTGTTAATTCCACATATAAGCGAGCTCGCGCAGTGTGTGTCTGGCTTATTTCACGCAGCATGTGAAAGGTCCACCCGTATTGTCGCAAATGGCAAGATGTCATTCTTTTTTTGTGGCTGAGTAGTAGTCCATCCTACCTAGACATCACATTTCCTTTACATTCATCCATCGTGGGTACCTAGGCTGTTTCCATGTCTCGGGCGTTGTAGTTAATGCTGCGGTGAACATGGGCGTTCAAATATTTTTTCAAGCCCGTGTTTGCACTGTCTTCAGATAAATACCCAGGAGTGGGCTTGCTGGATCATACCACAGCAGGACCTTTGAGAGTTTTAAAAGGTTTACGTGTATACACCCAGCTGTGGAAAAACAAGATCAACAACGACCAGGTTTTGCATCACCTACGAACAAACACACCTCGCCAGTTTGGGTTTTCTTTGCCACCCTTGTGGGGACATACCTGTGAGTGATCAATTCTTGAATGTATCACAGGAAGTGTGTCAGCGTTGGAGTCTCAGGCTTGAAAGACACCCAGAGTGGCGGTGAGTGGTCATTTGCAGCGTTCAGCTATTTGCCTGGGGGTGCTCAGAGGATCTTTGACTTATGTTGCAATTGGGGAAACCAAGATTCAGAGAGGGGCGGCGGCCTGCCCAGGTCACACAGTGAGTCGTGGGCCCAATCGGCACTTCTGCGTTCACCCCCTCACTAGCGCACCACACGACTGCCGAACACCCGCTCTGGGACAGGTACGGTGGTAGGCAACGGGGACAGAATGCTGACCCAGGCAAGGTCCCTGTCGTGGCGGCATTTGAGACTGGCAGCGAACAAGTAAACAAGGAAGCAAAACCATGATAGGTGTCAACAGAGGGGCCGGGAAGGGCCACACCGAGGACAGACAGCCAAGCTGCAGGATGAGAGAGAGCCAGTTGTGGAAAGAACCAAGGTAAAGGCGTTGCCGGTTGAAGAGACTATGAGCACAGGCCGTGAGGCAGGCGGAGGCATAGAAAGCAGCCCAGGCTGGCGGGCGAGTCCAAGAGTGAGGTGAGGGAGGCAGCTGGCGGCTGGACAGGAGGCCTCCCGAGGGAGTCTGGACTTACTCTGACTGTGCTGGGGGCAGGAGGAGAAGGAGGAAGTCACTGAAAGGTCCAAGCCATTTGAATTCTAGAACAGACACCCAGACTCAAAGATGCCAACATTTCCCTTTCTGACTCTCCGAGGCCTCTTGGTGCCCGCCACTCACCCTGTGGTTTCAGCCCGGCAGCGTAGGGACACCCAGCCTGTGCCTCCCGTGTCAGCGGGGACTTGCCTGTCCTTGCCTGTTCTCCCCTACCATACACAGCTCTGTGCTGCAAAGAAAAGCCAAGTCCTGGCAGGTGGCCATCCATAGCCACTCTGTCCATCTAGGTCCTTCCCGCACCAGCTAGACACCCCTGCATGTTCGGGGGTTTCCAAAGATCACCTCCTACCCACAGAAGAGGAAGCAGTAGCTTCCACGTACCCATCCCCCCATGCGCTGGCTGCTGGGTGAGAGGCATAGAGTCTACACCGGTGTCTCAAAGACTCCAGGCCTAGATAGAGACAGGGAGAAAACTGGAAAGCTGCAGAAGGGACCTAGGGAAAGGATGGGAGGGGGACTTCCAGCCTCGCTCAACATAGAGCCAGCATCTCCAGCCATGCCAGGCCCTCTGCAGGGCAGTGTGGGGTGGAAGTGAATGGGTTATGGGTTCTCACTGGCCGGCAGGCCAGAAGCACACTGTTTGGGGTGTTCCCCTCAAGGTCCCAAGACCCTGACATTCTCTTTTAACGATGACAGCATGACTGTGCCGTGGCATTGGATGACCACTTCAATAAATAAGGCCAGTAGGCAGACACTTAGGGAGAAAACACTGGGTCCCCTACCTCACACCATACATGAAAATCGACTGTAAGGGCATTAGAGAATCCCAGAGAAGAATGGCAAACTGGAAAGATGTTGAGAACAGCGGGGACTGCCAGCACTTGTGCAGTGCTTATGAGGGACCAGCGCTGTTCTACGTGTTTTGCACATGTTAACTCAGTTTCAGCCTCACAGTGGCCGGCAAAGTTGTTGCAGAAGCAGCGAGAAAGAACAATAACAGAGAAATCTCTGTGGTCTTAAGGTACAACATGGGCTGTGAAAGCCAAGATTGATAGGGTTGACTACTTTAAGCTTGGCAACTTCTATTCATCCAAACACCCTATTTTTATTTATTTTTATTTTTTTAAAGTTTATTTACTTTTCAGAGAGACAGAGCATGAGCAGAGGAGGGGCAGAGAGACAGAGGGAGACATAGAATCTCAAGCAGGTTCCAGGTCCTCAGCCATCAGCACAGAGCCCGATGCGGGGCTTGAACTCACGGACTGCAAGATCATGTCCTAAGCTGAAGTCGGGCGCTTAACCGACTGAGCGACCCCAGCGCCCCCCGAACACCCTATTTTTAGAGAGTACAATGCAAACCACAGGGTGGGAAAGAATATTGGAAAGCACAAAGACCCAAACGAACTCATGAAGAACCCCTACAAACCACTCAGAAAATAAGCCAATCAAAAACATAAACAAAAAAACAAACAAACAAAAAAACAAGCAATGGACTTGAACGGAGGCTATACGGGTAGAAAATCATCCCATGAAAAGATGCTCCACATCACTTCTCCTTAGGAAATGCAATGTAAAACCATGAGAGCCCGCTCCCCACCCGCTGGAATGATGGCAATAAAAATATACCAACCGCATCAATGTGGAGCACCTAGGACTCACGCGCCCTGCGGGTGGCGGGTGGGGGGCACAAAGAGACAGAGCCACTTGGGGGCATGTTTGCTATAATCCAGCCCAGATGAAGCTCTTCGGCTGTTCGTTCTCTAAAACCCGGGGATTTCATCTCACGTGCGCGTGTGCACTTGGATGAATGTGCAAGAATATGCCCAGCCGCACGGGCCACAGTGGCCCAAACTAGAAACAACCTCAATGTGTGTTGACAGATAAAAAAAGAGAGAGAGAGAGAGAGAGAGAAACAATGAGGTATTCATATAATGTAGCGACACAACAACAAAAAATGAAAAGGCTGCAGCCACACACACACAAATTGATGACTGCGATACACAGAAATGTTGAATAAAGGAAGCAAAACACCAAAGCAGACAAACCGCGCGCGCATGGCTCGATTTACATAAAATTCCAAAGTAGGTAAAATGAAGCTCTATTGTTTTGGGGTCTATTCGTAGGTGCTAAATTTGCAAAGAAAAGCAAAGAAGTGACCCTCCTCAGAATTAGGAGTGTGACGGTTTCTAATGGGGAAGGAGGGGATCATAGCTGGGAAGAGACACGTGGTGGCCTCTTTGGGGACTGGTGAGGCTCTATTCTCTTGGTTTTGTCCCCGTCTCTTGCCCTTGAGGCCACAAGTGCTAGTGGCCATGAATCACATCACAGCCACAGGTCTGCCTTCCCCCGTACTTTCTGTCGGGAGTGTCGGATGCAGCTTTGCCCAGAGGAAGGCCCCAGACGGAACTGTGAGTTTACCCCATTTCCCTTCCATGTCAGGCATTGGCCCTGCATCCCACTGGCTCTGTGCTCCAAGCCTCACTTTCCCCATCTGTTAATGGGGCACAGTGACCCCCACCAGGCCTGGCTCATAGGCTAGAATAAGGAATGTTAACTGGGAAGTGCTGCTTGAATGCCAGAGATTAGCTGGGGCTCTGAGGGACAGCCCAGCCCACTGCAAGGCTGCGTGAGGCCCAGCTAGATCCCTCAGAAGTAGTAGATCCCTCAGGGCTGGCCCTGCCTCGCCCTGTCCTGCTCGCCCCTTCCCTGCGGGGCTGCCTGTCAGCAGGGTTCAATATACTATCTGTCATCAGCCAATGGGCTGGGGCAACCAGGAGTAGGTCACACAGCCTATTTCCTGTTTTCTAAGGGGGAACTCAGATGCGGCGGCCTCGCTAGAGCCTAGAACAGAGGAGAGCTGAAGGGGACCATGTGACACTCCTCCTGGCCTCCCCTGGACCCACACAGGAACCAGAGGCCTCAGGTCAGTGCTTGATCCCCACCTCGGTGGGGCTCTGCCCTCCTGTGGCCTGAGCCCCCTCCTCCTATGGGCCTCCCCCAGTACCTGCTGGGGGCAGTGTGGGGCAGAGCCTCTACGTGTGGGGCTCCCCTTAGCTCATTGGGATAGAACAGGAAGCAGATCCCCAACCCTCCACCACCCCCATTCTTTTGGGGTACCTCTACAGCCCGTCTTGAGCCTGGAGAATAAGTCACCACACAGAAAGCGGTGCCAGGCAACCTTGGGGACTGGGGCAAAATGCAGAAGCCAGGGCCTACCCCCAAGCCTGCCGGAAGGGACTCTCTGATGGGAAGAACCAGGAAACCTGCTGTTACAGGCTCCCCGGACCCCCACCCGTCCCCCTGGGAGATTGCCAAATGTGAGTGTGCCCACCCAACGTCCGGGACCCTCTGTCCCCTGGGTCGGGCTTTACCCTGCTGTATTGGAGCCTCAGTCCGATGGAAAGTCCTCTGCAGCTCCTCAGGGAGGCAGCACGGGCTCTGAAGGTGGCTCACTGTAGCCAGCAGAAGAAGGCCTGGATAGGACGGGGCAGCCCTTGGAGGGAGGAGTGGTGCTCAGGGCCTGGGAGGGATGCAGGAGAATGGCTGCACACACAGCTGGACGGGGCGGGGGCTTGGAAGCTGTTCTGCACCCCATCAGCCAAGCACAAGACCCCAAGCCACCGGCAACAGCTTTTGCAGGGTTTTCTTATAAAATCGAGAAATCTTTGCTAGACAGGGGATGGGGACGGGAGAGAAGCCCCCAGAGAACCCCATGCATGGTTGTCCCCACAGAGCTTTGGGAGTGACAGGCTGCTTTCGCCATTTCACGGATGAGGAAACTGAGGCCTGGAGAGGACCGGGAAGCTGTCCAAGACTCCTTGCACATGCACCAATGCCTGACTTTCTCCTTCTCACTCCTCTCATAGTGACTCCCAGCCAACCCTATAAGAGAAAACATAAGGGAACTGGCTTTGCCTGCTGAATTTGATTTTTATTCAAAGCCCTGGGTTCATGCTCAGCTTTCCCGGGTCTTCATTGACGTGTTCAGCCAAGGCCATTATTTCTGGGCTCTCACAGGGTCTCTGGGCAAATCGTGTCCTGCTTTTGACCTGGTGCCAGCTGCCTGATCAGGACAGCAGGGCTGGAAGGGCTGGAGCCATTGAGGCTTGCCATCACCCGCTTTACAGAGGAGCTAACTGAGGCAGGTACGTAGGAGCGCCCACAGGAAACACTGGGCTTCCCAGGGTGGACCCAGAGTCCACTAAGAAAACATGGAGACCACTCACCACCTTGCCCCGGCACCTGCCAGAATATAGAGAGTCTGTCCTTCACCATCGGTGTTCTTGTCAGCAGGACAGGGCTTGTGGCCACACTTCTGAGGTGGGGAAACTGAGGCCTAGAGATAGTAAACAATTTGCATTCAGACCCACAATTGGTCATGATAGAAGGCCTGTCTCCTGAAGGGGAGAAGAGGCAAATGAGGTGTGCAGGCTCTGGCAGGCTCAAGCCATGCCCTTGCTCTGTGCCTCAGTTTCCCACCATATAAGGTAAGGTTGGACAGAGGGTCCTGGAGAGACATTCACTGGGCAACTGCACAGAGCCACCTGGAGAATGGACCAGAATTCCTTCCATCTAACTGGAGAAGAGCTGCCCCCCGAAGGAGGGCCTCCCACCCCGGCCCCAGATGACCTCAGGTCTTCCCAGGCCAGGCCTTTCCAGAAGGCCTTCAGCCCTGGAGTCAGGATGGGCTCTGGCCACTTGCGGGGAAAAAGCTGTAACCCCACCCCTCTCTAGGCCATAATCAGCGTGAGGATTCAGACACGGGGCCCGGAACGCAGACCAGAGTCTCGTCCCCATGTGCCCCTTACAGCTCCCTCAGATCTTGGGAAGAAGGAGGTAAGGTTACTTGCACCCTTCTGATTTTGGATCTCTATGCCAAAGTGGTGGCCCAGCTCCTCGCTCCATCTGAGCTAATGTTTTAGTCATCTTTTTTCTAATTTGTCTCAGGCATGTTAAATTCTATTCCAACTTACATTTCAATTTAGAGTCATTGACTTTCCAAATATTTTTCAAAGTATTATCATGTGTCAGATATTCATAACAGGGACTTGGGTGCCTGGCTGGCTCCGTCGGTAGAGGGTGCGTCTCTTGATCTCAGGGTCATGAGTTCGAGCCCCATGTTGGATGTAGAGATTACTTAAAAATAAAATCTTTAGGGGCACCTGGGTGGCTCAGTTAAGCATCTGACTTCGGCTCACAGTTCGTGAGTTCAGGCCCCCTGTCTGTGCTGACAGCTCAGAGCCTGGAACCTGCTTCGGATTGTGGTTCCCTCTCTCTCTGCCCCTCCTCCACTCATGCTCTGTCTCTGTCTCTCAAAAATAAATAAATGTTAAAAAAAATTTTTTTTAAATCTTTAAAAAAATAGGGGCACCTGGATGGCTCAGGTGGTTGAGCGGCTGACTCTTGGTTTTGGCTCAGGTCATGATCTCACAGTTTGTGAGCTGGAGCCCCGCATCTGCACGGACCGTGGGGAGCCTGCTTAGGATTCCCTCTCTCCCTCTCTCTGCCCCTCCCCTGCTCACATGTGTGCTCTCTCTCTCTCTCAAATAAATCAACTCTAAAATGATGATAATAATAAATAACAGGGACTATTATACAAGGCCAGGTATGTGGGGAGCCTTGAGCTGTTGACTTAACCCTCACACCAGCATCGTGAAGCCAAGCTCCGTTCTTATACCCGATTTATAGGAAACTGAGGCACAGAGAAGTCCAGGCACGAGGTCATCTTGTTCACTGATCTGAGTCACAGATCTTACTGCGTAAACTAGCCCCCAGCACTCCCACTGTCTGCCCGCCCCCACGCCCTGAAGAAGGTGGAGAGGCATCTGGGTCCTGCCCACCACATACTAGCCTTGATCGTAGGCAACTCTCTCAGTTCCTTTATCAGAAAATGCAGCTTAAACTCCTTCTGCACACAGAATCAGTTAAGTGAGAGAGTGGGTGTTGAGCACAGAGCACTCGACCTGGCACGTCACAAAACATTCAGCTTTGCTCGTTGGGTACGCTCACCAGCCACAGAACCTTGGGCTAAACCTCAGTTTCCTCTTCTGTTACTGGGAGTCACGACAGATTTTTGTGGGCGTTAAATAAGTGGATGTGAAGAAGTTAGGAGCATACGAAGCGTGTTCCGTAAGTCCTAAGTGTCTGTCTAGAGACGGAGGGAGAGAGAGATGGGAGGGATACATACCAGTATCCCTGCTTTGGACGCTGCAATTCTATTTACAAATGAACAGAAAATGGAGTATGGGGATGTGCTTCTGGACAAGACAGCATCTTGCTCCCAAGTAATCCTGACTTTGCTTGAAATCAGATTCAGAGCAACTCGATAATGGAAGCATCGTGACAACAAGAGAGGGCTTGGACCGATCAGTTCAGCAAAGGGGCAGACCCAGGCCTCTCATGTGGCAGCTGGGTGGACAGCTGGGTGGGCAGTGGGGACTATGCCACAGATCGTAGCACCCCAGGGCCCACTAGGAACCCCAGCACGAGTGGGAACTCACTGCCCTCTTTGTCCCCCTAGCAGCCTTGGAGTCATGGCCAGTCCTGAGCACCCTGGAAGCCCTGGATGGATGGGACCCATTGCCCAGTGCGCGACAGGGACCAAGCAGGAAGCAGCAGCCACTGGCCCAGACCTCCCATGTCCAGGACCCGATGAACACTTAGGTGAGCTTGAGGCTTGGGGCTTGATCAGAGATAGAGGTCTAAAGACATCTGAAATACAAATGTGGGCCCTTCAACAGATGCCGCGGGAAAGGGGGCAGCTTTCCTAAGTTGACACAAGAATTTGGTGCCAGTCATCTTTCTGGGAGATGGTTCCAGGAGTCATAGCAGGGGAGCGGTAAATTGAGGAAAGGAAGGGCAGGAAGCCAGGACAGGATGTTGATGGAGAGATTACTGCTGGAGGCAACTGGGCTCAGTCCCAGAGGGGGTCCTCTGCAAGACATATGGAACACATCTCAGAGTCATCCCATCCAAGAGGTGAGGGGACCAGTCCCATCCTTCATCAGCCAAGGAAAGTTCCAGAACATACCGCTTTAGCTGAAGGAAGCCCTCAGTGTGAGAGTCCTAGGTGCTTCCCGTAGAAGCCAGTGGGACATTCTGGAACAGTGAGTGCCCAGAACCGCTATAGTGTCATGTCCTGGAGCAAATTTATTTACTCATTTGTGCATTCCTTCAGTATGCGCCTATGGACCGTCTGCTCTGTCCTTGGCCCTGTGCGGGGCCCTGGGGAAAACAAGAGCGAATCAAGCACCGCAGGCCCTCCAGTGTGGTAGGGAAACAGATCTGTGAAAAATAATTTGAGATGTCACCAAAATAGGCTGTAGGGACGAGGTGGGAGGCTCTTACTCTGATGCAAGGGGACAGTTGAAGTGACATCTGGGCTGGGTCTTGAAGGGCACCGGAGCCCCATATCCCTTGAAATAAAATGCACAGCGATCTGTGCATCTCGGCGGGGAAGGATTCTCATCGTTCCCGAGATCCTCAGAAGGGCTCACCGCCCAAGGGAGGTCGAAGACACACTGTTCGGTTTGCAGGTAGGCAAACAGGAGGGTTGCTTGTCAGGCGGAAGGAGTGGCAGGTGCAAGCAAAGGCGGGGAATGTGGGAAGCCAGAGAGGGAAGAGTCTGGAGGGGCCCACCGTGCTGAGCCTGGAGCCCGGCATCCTCAATCGCTCCCTCCGCTGGTAGCCCAGTGTGAGCTCAGGGGCCGGGGCAACCGCACGGGCGTCAGCGCTGGAGGGAGTGCAGAAGCCAACAAGCCACCGTCCCTGCTTGTCAGGAGCATGGGCCTCGGGCGCCCGTGGCCAACCTGCAGGCGGGAAGTGGATGGTGCAACGGAAACGTGCCGCGTTTCACAACGGAGACACCAGCTGGCGGTGCGGGTGGGGGGAGGAGGAGGGGTGCCGTGTCAGGCTGTCAGGGGCAGGGGGCGGGCTGGACGCAGCCAGGGTGGAGCCCAGCGAGTCTGGGCAGGGGGGGGGGGAGGCAGGGGAGGGGGGGATCGCCAGGGGCTCTTCCGGTTGGACAGCATGCCCACACCCAGACAGACCCAGCCATCTCCCCACAATTGCGGGCGATTCTGGTGCTTAGGTGCCGTCCCTCCAGACACCCCTGGCGGCCCCAGCCCCAACTCCAGCATGACCACCGGGGAGCTGCAGGAGTACTGGCGGAAGGAGAAAGCCAGCCTGGGCGCGTCAAGCTACTCTTTGAGGTTGTCCATTGCGGCCGAGGAGGAGAGAAAAAGTCTCAGACCGTGTGCAGGTGGACCTCCGAGATCCGGCAGCGGCAGCCACCGCTCACCACCTCCTTACCCGGCCCCAGCGCATGTCGGTAAAGACCTCAACTCTCCGGAAGGATGAAGCTAGACCCTACTCGCACTTTGACTCACACAGGAGTTCTAAAGAAGTAGGGGGGGGGGGGCGGGGGGAATTACAAGAAAGCCAGATCTTGTCAACATTGTGCTCAGAACTGTGAGAACTGTAGATGTGAGTCGCGGTTCTGATCCTGAGGAGGAACTGGCCCACACATTAAGGCCGTGCGCCCACAATATATGTCTCTTAGCCAGACTTTTGCTCCCCACCCCGTCATTTATGTTGGTATTATTATTAAGAATATTATTAATAATTATATATCTATAAAATAATGATATATCGTATCATAATTACTCTATTTTCTTTAAATTAGATTACTTTTTTTTTTTAATTTTTTTTCAACGTTTATTTATTTTGGGACGAAGAGACAGAGCATGAGCAGGGGGAGGGGCAGAGAGAGGGGGAGACACACAGGGAATGGGAAGCAGGCTCCAGGCTCTACAGGCCATCAGCCCAGGAAGCCTGTGGGGGCACCGAACTCCTGGGACCCATGGTTGCGTGACCTACCTGGCCAGTCGGGCGGCTTAACCCTTGATACATACCCGAGGCGCCATTTCATGCCACCCAGAAGCCCTAAATAGTGCTTTTAAAAAAACACTAAACAAGAGAAGAGCCTGGGCTGTTGGCCCAGCTCTTGTTCAACTCAGATATTATCAGAGTTCTGGGGTTAAGCCCCCCATAGGAGCTCTGCACTGAGTGTGGAACCGGGATTCTCTCCCTCCGTCTCTCTCTGCCACCCTTCTCTGCTTCCTTGCTCTCTCTCTCTCTCTAAAAAATAAATTTAATTTTTTTAAACCACTAAATAACTCAAAGGGGGGAACCAATAATATCACATAGCATAAAAGAAAAGATAATTATAAAAAGTAACTACAAAAGGAGAGCTAAGTGCTATTATTGAATTCCTAGCTGGTCATGCCATGGCTACTGTGGGGAGACTCTGGGGTTAGGGTTGTTGCTTTCGTTTTTTGAAATGGATTTTAGAGAGGGAAGCCCGGTGGCTCAGCTGGTTAAGTGTCCGACTTTAGCTCGGGTCACGATCTCGAGGTTGGTGAGTTCGACTCCATCCGGGCTCACTGCTGCTGTCAGTACAAGGCAGGATCCCTCTGCCCCTCTTTTTCTGCCCCTCCCCCACTTGCACCTACACACACACACACACGCACACACTCTGTCTCTCTCAAAAATAAAATAAAACATTAAACTAGATGAATAAGGGGCGCCTGGGTGGCTCAGTTGGTTGTTAAGCATCGACCTTGGCTCGATCTCTCACCCAGGTTCACGGAGTTTTTGAGACCCTCCGGAAGCTTGTGCTGTGAGGCTCAGAGCCTGGAACCTGCCAAATATGTGTCTCCCTCTCTCTCACCTCTGCCCCTCCCCCACTCTTGCTCTGTCTCTCTCTGTCTGTCAAAAAATGAATAAACATTAAGAAAAAACAAATTTTAATAGATAAATAAATAAATAAATAAAATGGAGTTTTTGCCCGTGTTGGGGGCTACGTTAGTGTCCAAGTAGGAGCCATGTTCAACCCTTCTCCCTGCCTTGCCCCCTTAATTGGGACTGGGATAATAACAACGGGGACACTGAGCACTGACCGCGTGTTGAACACAGTCCCCCGTCCCTGCAGTGCATTAACCCGTTTCATCCTCACCCAGCGAGGGAGGCGCTACCACTATCCTCGTTTCATGCATGGGAAAACTGAGGCTTGGAGAGAGAGGGTCAAGTACCTACCTAAGACCACACAGCTAGAGCGCGGTGGAGCTGCATTTGCAACCCAGGCAGCCTGTGCCCTTAATCAGTATGGTCTAGCTGAACGAGAATCGAGAAGCAGTAATTTTCTTACCGTATAACATCACCGCCAGCATACCGCCTAAAACCACCTCTCAGGTGGATCTAATCCAGGCTCCCCAGTTTAGGAACCTGGGGCCGGGTTTTGACGATATGGGTGGGGAGCACCCCCAGGCTCCCTGTCCCCTCCCCTCCCCCCCTCCCCCCGTTTCCTGTGCTCTTTGTCCCACGAGACGCCTCCATGCTGCCGTGTTTGTTATTCTCGGGTTGACTCTTGTCATGATTCGCTTTTATAGCTCAGCAGATGCTGATGGCAATTCAAAACAGAATTGCGTATAACGATAACCCATTTTCAGGGTATGCTTGAAACTGTGATCATCATTGTTTTTTATTTGCCGGGGCTCACTCTGTCAGTTAAAACCTCCTGTTCGGAGGTAGTCAAACGCTCTCTCTCTTTGCGCCGTAGATGTACCAAATCGTCGTCATCCAGACAGGGAGTTTTGACAGCAACAAAGCCGTGCTGGAGCGGCGCTATTCAGACTTTGAGACGCTCCAGAAAAACCTCCTCAAGACGTTCAGGGAAGAGATCGAGGATGTCGTCTTCCCCAAGAAGCACCTGATGGGCAACTTCACGGAGGAGATGATCTCCGAGCGCAAGTTGGCCTTCAAGGAGTACCTGAGCCTGCTCTACGCCATCCGCTGTGTGCGGCGGTCCCGCGAGTTCATCGATTTCCTAACCCGGCCGGAGCTCAGGGAGGCCTTTGGCTGCCTGCGAGGCGGCCAGTACACCAGGGCCCTGGACATCCTGGTGCGCGTGGTGCCCCTGCAGGAGAAGCTGACGGCCCACTGCCCCGTAATGGTGGTCCCCGCCCTCTGTGCCATGCTGGTGTGCCACCGTGACCTTGAACGCCCTGCTGAAGCCTTTGCGGTGGGTGAGAGGGCCCTCCAGTGCCTGCAAGCCCGGGAGGGCCATCGCTACTATGCCCCCCTGCTGGACGCCATGATCCGCCTGGCCTACACGCTGGGCAGAGACTTCATTTCGCTGCAGAAAAGGCTGCAGGAGAGCCAGCTCCGGAAGCCCACCCCCTGGGGCCTCACCCTGAAGGAACTCACCGTGCGGGAATATCTGTACTGAGCCCCTCTGGCAGGCGGGCTGGAGACTTGGGGTCACCGCTGCTCGGTGGGCGGTTTGGGGTTCGCGTTTTAGTGGGCAGAGCCACGTTGGACCCTAGGTTGCTGGGTGACCTTGGACAAGTCCTTCCTCTGGCCCTCCGTTTCCCCATCTCTGTTGAACAGAGGTCCCTCGGGGCATCCTTGGAAGCCTCCGCTCGAGTCCTGTGTCCCTTCGATGCCAGGTTCACCTCATCTCAAAACCCCGAACCCAGCTGCCCAAATGCCAGAGAGTGAGATCCATCTTTCTGGTGCTTTTGCAGGTAGCTGGAGGGGAGGTTGACATTGCACGCCACGGACAAAGCTTAACCCATCTCGTACAGACCGCTCTCTCCAGCTGTCCTCTCTTTCCTCTCTGCTCCTTCTCCCTGACCTTGCCTGCAGATATCCCCACCGTTATCCTAAATATTCCAGCTCTTCCCTCTTAGCGTGTAAACCTGACTCGGCAAAACAAAAGCTCATCCACTGCTCCTCAAGGCCAACTTTGTCCCTAAGATGGGGTGCATGGGACCCTTTGAAGGGCGGAGGGACACTGGGCTAGAACATAATCATGTCATAAGACTCTGTGAAACGAGGCATTTTTAGGAAGGGAAGTTGCCCACGATTCTCTGGTTAGGATTATGCAACTCATTGCCGGGTTGGGTTTTCATTTATGGGCAACTGGCCCCCAAATAGGCTCCTTGAGTTATGTAGACACAGCCCTGAAGGGAGGTGGGGTGATACACAGTGGGACCTCTGGGTAGGACACTGATTGAATGCTTAACACCTCCCCATTGAGGAACAATGTTCTTGGAACCTCTGTGCCGGATGGGGATGCCCTTGGCCGAAGTCTGCTTTCAGGAAAGGACACCGAGAGCCCAGCGTGGAGGGGAGTCTGGACCCATAACCCAGGCTCGACACTGGTCCTGAAGCTGATGGTACAGGCTGGTTTGGGCCAATGTGTGTTTGAGGCTAGAAGTCCCTGGAGACCTAAACCATCTGCTTGAACTTATCAGAGCAAAATAAAGAGGCTGTAACTTGGACCCATAATGTGGGGCACCAGCCTGGCCTGTGCGAGGATCTGGCTCAGCACGGGGATCACAGTGGCTGTGGACGGGCATCCGCCAAGCTGCACCGGGATGTGTTCAACCGCGACACCGTGTGGCGGCAGCTGTAGCGGCCCGATCAGCCTCTGGCCTCGAGGCTAGAAACATCTGATGATACCTTGGGACAGAGAAAGCTTCAAGTCCCTCAATTTACGCAGGGAGGACACTTTGAATGGGAGATGACGGGCTTCTTGAAAATCTGGGCGTGTGGGAAATTACAGTGTTAAGTGGAAATACAAAGGGCCGTGACTCTACTTGTCATGGTGAAGAAGACCGTACTGATATCGTGAGTCATTTCGTCCAATGGGAAATGCCATCAACTATAAGGTCCACCAGATATTCACTCAGAAGGAAAATATGGCCAACACAGGGAGTGTGATAGGAGTTTCCAGCAAGAAGCTGGGAGAGCAAAGACTTAGCTCCCAATGTAAGAAAGCTGCTTGGGAGAAAGGACGATCAGGAAACGCGAGAATCAAATTTGGCACCAGGTGGGGGGTGGCAGTCTTCCTCCTAGAACTTGAACTGTGAGCGTTAGGGTCTGAACACATACAGTGTGGTCCAAAATACTTCATGCAGAGAGGTCACCGTAAAGTGGCCTCAGAGGCAGGTGCTCTAGGTCCCTGACACCCCAGAAAGCAGGTTCTCTCTGAGGGAAGTCAACATCAACTCAGGCCAACAGAGAGTGTAAGGTGCCATTGACCAGAGGTGCTGAAATGTGGGATGGGGGGCAGAATGTGTCTCAAAATCACATATATATGTGTGTAGTGTAGATGGAGAAATTTAAAAAAAAAATTTTTTTTAACGTTTTATTTATATTTGAGAGACAGAGAGAGAGAGAGAGAGAGAGAGAGCGCGCAATGGGGGAGGGGCAGAGAGAGAGGGAGATGCAGAATCCGAAGCAGGCTCCAGGCTCTGAGCTGTCAGCACAGAGCCCGACGTGGGGCTTGAACCCACGAACCGTGTGACCGGAGCTGAAGTCGGACCCTTCACTGACTGAGCCACCCAGGTGCCCTGCAAATTTTTCTAAAGCCTATATGGGGTGGAAGGAACTTACAAGACCATGAACCCCACCTGTCTTCCCCCTGGACACAGTCCCAGGACTCAGGGAGCTCCCAGTGGGAGCATCATGCCAGTCTCACCCACACCCAGGAACCCATTCTGGGCACTCGGCCCCTAAGCCTGAGTGGGCTGGGGGCTCATTCCCACGGAAGCCTGCTCCAGCAGCCCCTCCCTCCCATCCGCAGGGGTCAGGCTGCTTGGGAAGGCAGCAGGTGTCTTACCCTGCCCCAAGGCAGGCTGGGAAGATGGCATCTCTAATGGCTGCCCGTGGGCTAAAAACCAGAGCATTTTTGGAGCCCGACTGTGTGTCCAGGGCTTTCCTCAGCACTGCCGGACCAGCTCTGCCCCGGAGATATTCTCATCCCATTTCACACATGAGCACACAGACACATAGCTTAAGTGACTTGCCCAAGGTCCCACCACTAATGACAGGTACAGCAGGAAATTAAACTCAGGCCTGTGTGACCCCAGGCCTGTGCCTTCCCCACTGAGCCCTACTTCAGAGGGGAGTGGTGAGAAGAGACGGTAGGGATATGTCCCTGGTCCTCTTATCCTTAAGGACCCTTAAAGGTCATTTCACTCACCTCTGTTTCTAGGTGGGACACAACCTGGAGAAGAAACTCACTCAAGGCCACACAGTGAGACAGGGATAGCTCCGGGACCAGACCTGGGGTGTCCACATCAAAGTCATACGGTCTGGCAGGCAGGGCAGAGAGAACGATCCCTTCGAAGAGGCCCTTGGGGGTCACCCAGCTGAACCTGGGGGCGCAGGGCCAGTCTTGAGGCTTGGGCAGGGGGCCGGCCGGCCGGGAGGCTCAGGTCAGAGTAGGCTCTGGTCCACGTGGCCTTGGCTCTGGATGTCCCCTTGGCTGCAACTCTGTCCTGGAGCTGCAAGGCCAGTTCCCATGCCACCTGCTGGTGGGGGAGGGGCACCTGCTCAGGGGCTCTCCAGATGCTTCCCGTCCCTCCTGCAGCAACTGCAAAGAACTGCCTTCCCAGAATCCTCCTGCTCGGCCCCACACACCCCCCTCTTTGGGGCCCCACAATGCCACCACCTGTTCTAACATTCACTTACCATTTTCCTTTTAGCAGTCTCCTTTTACTTATGTAAATTTGCCTGAAAAAGAAACTTCTTATTACCGTTATAAATGGAAAATCAGACTCGCTTGCTATAATTAGAAAGGTAGCGTAAAAATAAACACAGTGAAACCTATTGCTGTTAATACACTTCACAGGCCTTTGTCTGAGACAGGCCTTGAATGTGAGGCCGCCAGAGGCTCTTTGTGAAAAGAGACAGAGACACCAAGTTGAGACTTCTCTTCGATTTACTCAGAAGGACTGAAAAATCCTGCCAACAGAAATAAGTTTCCGACCACGTAGGCTGGATCGTTCGATGTTGTCTGTGCATGGTCCCCTACCATCTGGGGTCCTACTCCCCGCTGCCTGGTCCATGGCCTTGGTCCCCCACCCTCAGCCCTGTATTCAGCCCTGATGGCTCCCCAGCAACTCAGTCGTGGGCCTGGTTTTGACTTTGGTTGACATCCTTGGCTTTCAACACCCCACTTGGGAGGTGGTACCTAGGCTCCAGGTCCTGGCTTCATACCTGATTTCAGGTAAGACCCTCATTTGGAAGGAAAATTCTAGCTCAGTCAAAATTCAGATCTGCAACACGTCCTCTGGTTCGTGTCGCTGTGCCCTGCCCCCCAGTATGAGCAAGAAAATGCTGCTCCCCCAAAGAGGCCCTGCACAGAGCCCTGGCCTCATAGTCTGCTCCCAGAATAGGTTCCCACCAGCCTTATCCATCTATCTGTGCACATTCTCATTTTCTCAGTAAACAGCGATTGACAATGCTCCCACTATTTGCCAGACCCTGCCAAGACCTGGGGACACAGCGGTGAAGGGCACAGCCCCAGTCTCTAACCACACTGAGGTTAGAAGGGAGTCACTCACAGAGCAAATGGAGCCTGAGACCAAATAGTCTCCCTCAGCCAGATAGTCAGGGAAGGCTTCTCAGAGGAAGAGGTATTTAAGGGAGCCACAGGAGAAGCTAAGGAGGCACTACAGGGTGGGGAGGGGAGAATTTTAGGCAGAAGAAAAGCAGAAGCACCCTCGAGGCAGGAAACTCCATCCCTGGGGACCCTTGGTTGAGGCCTGGGCCCAGAAAGGGCCCGAGATGCCCTTTCCCCGATGCACCACCCTGGTGGTACCCACTTCGAGGAAGGGCTCCAAGTGCTGACAAATATGCCTGGCAAGCCACATCTGTGCCATTATCCACCTCCAGTGACTGGCTCATTGCAAAGTGGACAAGCTGGGAGCTTGTGTTTAGGACGCACAGACCCTTTTGGTTACAAGCAACAGAAACCCTGGGTAATTTAGCAGGGGAGGAATTTATTATCCAAAAAATCCAGGAATAGACTAGCTTCAAGCCAAGTTGGATCCCAACAATCAAACCTCGTCATCTGGTCTCTCTCTAACTTTCACTTTCTGTCTCTCTTCCTTCTGCTTCCCCTGCTTTGCCTCTCCCTCGGGCTCTCCTCCTGGTGACAGGATGGCTGGAGCGACACCAGGCTCATATGCTTCCCTCTGGGCAATCCCAGTGGATCCCCCTCCAGGGCCTTGTGAAGTCCCTGGCCGGTAGGATATGGACGAAACACCCACATGTCCTTTCCTGAGGAGCCAGGCAGGGCAGATCCTGTCCCCAAGTGCCGTGACCACAATTAGCTTGCCCAGCCTTCAACAGAAATAAGTCTTAACATATTGTTTTGTAATCTGTTTTCCAAATTTTAAAATAGACTTTGTTTTTTTTTTAGATCAGTTCTCTTTTCACAGCAAAACTGAGTGGCAGATACAGAGATTTTCCATAGAGCCCCTGTCCCCACACACGCAGAGCCTCCCCCGTGGTCACATCCTTCACCAGAGTGGTACATGTGTGACAACTGATGAACCTGCATGAACACATCATGATCACCCAGAGCCCACAGTTTTCATCAGGGCTCACTCTTGGTGTTGCGCTTTCCAGGGGGTGAGACAAATGTAACCACCATGGACATGTATCTTAAAATTAAAGCATGGTTGCAGTATGATTAAATTTTGTCGATCTATCATGAGCATTTTCCTGGAATATATCATATTCTTCCATGTTATTTTTAATTTATTTTAACCATCTTGTAATGTTCCAAATTTTCCTCACTAAAGGCAATACTGCAGCATGTGCCCGGGTCCAATGTCTTTTCGTATTTGTGCGCTCCTAAGGCAATTTCTGACTGTGGCGTTTCTGAATCATAAGCACTTTTAATGGTTTTGATAATATTACATTCCCTCCAGACAGTCTGTGCTAACGCACTCCGCACAGCATCGGGACGTTAGCAGTTTTCAACTATTTCCGGTGTGAAAGATGAGAAGTGGTATCC